CCAGTTGTCTTTCTAAAAGGCCCTTTGCTGGGCAGGGATTGTAGTTTGGTGACAGAACAACTGCTTTGCACAGAGGAGGAGGACCCAGGGTCAGTTTCTGGCTTCTCCAGCTAAAACAGCGTCGCCCAACCTGGTGCCCTCCATATATTTTGGACTGCAACTCCCCATCAGTCATACATTTCCCTGTATCAGGAAAATTTTAATGTCTAACGTTTTGCAATTTTTATGTGCTGTAAGAGTGGCTGGGGAAACCCAGTCAGATGGGTAGGGTATAAATAATAAAATTATTGTTATTATTTTATTATTATTGCTAGCAAAAAAGGTCCAGGGACGTTTTCTTGGCAACTTAAAGTCATGTGTCATGTATGATTTGAGAAAACCCAGCTCCTCAGAAGCTACCTTTTACTAAGCCAAACTGTTGGTACATATAGCCAAGTATCTGGGGGGGGGGGGCGGGGGCGGAATCACATAGCTTCCCTGATGCCTTCTGAAAGGGTAGCTTTCTCTGACTTGTGAATATTGAGTTTGAAGTATTATTATTTATTTATTTATTTATTACATTTGTATACTGTCCTTTGGGACGCGGGTGGCGCTGTGGGTAAAACCGCAGTGCCTAGGACTTGCCGATCGCATGGTCGGTGGTTCGAATCCCCGGGGCGGGGTGAGCTCCCATCTTTCGGTCCCAGCTCCTGCCCACCTAGCAGTTCGAAAGCACCCCTAAAAGTGCAAGTAGATAAATAGGTACCGCTTTCTAGCGGGAAGGTAAACGGCATTTCCGTGTGCTGCGCTGGTGCCGGCTCACCAGAGCAGCTTCGTCACGCTGGCCACGTGACCCGGAAGTGTCTCCGGACAGCGCTGGCCCCCGGCCTCTTAAGTGAGATGGGCGCACAACCCTAGAGTCGGACACGACTGGCCCGTACGGGCAGGGGTACCTTTACCTTTATACTGTCCTTTATTCAAAGATTCCAGAGTGGTTCACAACAGAAAAATACAAAATACAGTGGTGCCCCGCAAGACGAATGCCTTGCAAGACGGAAAACCCGCTAGACGAAAGGGTTTTCCGTTTTTGAGTTGCTTCGCAAGACGATTTCCCTATGGGCTTGCTTCGCAAGACGAAACGTCTTGCTAGTCTTGCGATTTTTTTTCGCTCCCCACCCCCTTTTTCTAAGCCGCTAAGCCGCTAATAGCCTTTTAGCAGCTAAACTGCTAAGACTTTAATAGCCGCTAAGCCGCTAATAGCGCTAATCCGCTAAGCCACTAATAGGGTTGCTTCGCAAGACGAAAAAACCGCTAGACGAACAGATTCTTTTCGTCTTGCGAGGCACCACTGTAAAGCATACCAAATGCATAGTAAAACAAAAACAAACAAAAAAAAACCATAAAAACCCTTCCACAAAGCCTGGAGGGAGGCTAGGAAAGGATATGTAGAAAACAGTCTACTGAGAAAAGATAAGATTTACATTTCTTGCTCCAAGAAATTTACATTTCTTTTTTACTGCAGATTTATTAAAGAAAGCAAAAGCGCAATTGTCATCTCACATTCACAATAAAATAAACATCAATACGTCCATCTTAAGATACACATACAGATTCATAAATGCCCTCCAAATGTCAAAACAGATATCCAAAGGAAGTTGGTGTTTCAAGAAAGTGCATTCAACTGCAGCAAGGGCATTAAGGACTTTAAACTGTTGCATAATAGATGGTGAATATTTATCCTTCCACGCTCAAGGTATATATGTCTCTTAGCAACTGCAAGGGCTCATAAATTCCATTTTTGTTGTCCAGTTGTTAGTCCTTATTTTGCAAGAATATAACTTAAAGTACACAAACATCTGCAGATATTTTGCCAGTACAAAATTTATACAGACAGCAACTTCAGACCAAACAGGGCATTTCAGGGGAAGCCCACATCATATGCCTCAATGAGACATTTCTAGCATTACACCTCCAAAATGCATCTGGCTTAGACAACCCCTTCATATAGAGCTGCTGTGGAGTCCAGTATACCCAAAATAGGGGTTTTTTTGCTGAATCAGTCAAAAGAAACATGCCATATAGATTCTACAGCAGTTTTTACATCCAAGAATAGAGAAGACTCAGGGAAGGGTAGAAAACTGGCATCCAAAGTCCTGCCGACAAGATAGAATTTGGAATAAAGGCAGTAAATGGTTTACATTCTAATTGTATTTTAATTCTGCCTATAGAAGTCAGATTGCTTTGTGGTAAGCAGAATGCTTTCAGTGTGGACCTGAGCAGGTTGTGGATGTCCAAGGCAGCAGAGGCTTCACTGGGAATATCATTGGTTAAACAATGCTGTGCCTTTCAGAGCTTGTTTAGCAATAGATCATCAGCCTCCTGCTAACTGATGGCATGTTTTTCACAGTACCCTTCCATAGCAGCTGCTATTAGACTCTTTGGAAATAGCTTTGCAGACGCTCAGTTCCGTTCTGCTTCTAAGATCAATACCCCCCTTTTATAGCTTTTTGCAAAATGATTAATTGCCTCTGGGTCCTGTACTCTCCCCACTCTGCCCCCAGGGGTGACATTTGGAAAACTATTAATTAGTATCTGTGACAATGGGAAATAAATGGATGCATTTACCATTGTGGTAGAAAGGGCTCCCAAATGCTATGTCTAACACTTTCTCACTGGAGACTCTGTCTGTCATATCGGGCAATCTGTTGTGCCTATTGGAGCAGGAGTGAGATACAAGGAAATTATCTTAAGATTTGCAATCAGTTCAGTTCGGTGCAGAGCAACTGTAGCTAGTAGGCTAGTGTAACTAGATGGATTTCTTTTGGTGGCTTTAAAAGAGGATTAGACAAATTCGTAGAGGCTGCCAACCATGATAGCTATGCTCTACCTCCACTGTTAGAGGCATTATGCATCTGGAAACCAGTTGCTTGGACTCACAGATGGGGAGAGTGTTGTTGAACTCGGGTCCTGTTTGTGGGCTTCCTATAGGAGGGGGGCATCTGGTTGGCTACTGTGAGAACAGGAGGCTGGAATTGATGTGCTGCTGGCTTGATCCAGCAAGCCCTTCTTATGTTGTCATTCCAGGATTGCTTGCAGAGGCAATACCCATGGATGCAGATTATAGAATTATGGAATTGCAGAGTTGGAAGGGACTTCAAGGGTCATCTAGTCCCACCCCCTGAACATTTCCTCTTCCCTTTCCTCTCTCCCTCGGTGGCAGGGGTCAGCCACTGGTAGCTGTCCAAGGTGAGATGAGCCAAAGGATGCCAAGAAATACCCCAAAGCCAAGAAGATTGTGTGGCTTAGGCAAGGTCCTGGCCCCAAAGGGTACCTTTTGATAGCCCTTTCTGTCCAAGCTGGCCCAGTGGACAGGAAGGGTAGGCATATGAAGAGGCTTGCAGGATCAGGACAAAGACCCCTTTGGTATATAGCGTTCTGTTCCCACAGTGGCCAACTAAGATGCCCATAGGAAGCCTTTGTGTCCTCCTTTCCTATGTTGACTTTCCTTTTTATTTTTCGTTTGTTGCTTTAACTGTATCATACCATTCTAAAAGGAAACTTCTTTTTTTAAAAAAACTATTTATGAAAACAAGCACAATAAATTATGAAATCCATCCAATCTGTTTTGATGAGTGGTGGTTTATAAATAATCTAACAAGTAAAATGAGCCCTGGTGGGATCCTATGCAAGCTGGCAGGAGAAGGGTCTCATCCTGTTGGGTCTCTGCCTCCTTCCTGTTTGTCACCCAGTGAGAGAGAAGAGGTAGTGGGCACAGAGGAAGCAGGTCTTGCACCCTGTTCTCATTCGTTAATTGCATGTCTCCCCCACCACCACACTCCCTCTGTATGTCAATGAACTACCCACAAGGTCCTGAACGGTGTTTGTGGGCTAGAGCTCACATAAGTTTGCTTCTCTCGACCATAGTTGGAATCAAGGAGTAAGCAATGTAAGAAAATGTGTTATGGTAAGAAGCATGAGCCTATGTGCATCACTCTGGAGCATGTATTCTACCTTAGGCAGAGAAAGCAGGAAAGTTCATAGAACTGGCTGTTTTGCCATATTGTTGTCAGCATAATAGTGATGAAATTGCTTTAAGTTTTTGACCTTTGAAGGATATTTCCCTTCCTAGATTAATTGCATAAACCCATGTGCAGGTGCTTTGAGTGTACAAGTAGTCACAGAAGCACTTGGAATACATTTCCAAGTGTTGTCCATGGCTTTAGGATATAGCTCTTTGTTTCGTTCTGCTGCAGCAACTGCACAAAGAAGCATAAAACCAACACAACTGGCAGTGCATATCTGAATTTTTACTTGCCGGCTTAAAAAAAGCAGACTAGTAAATAAAAATGGAGGCTAGAAGCACTTTCTCCTCTGCCCTTGTCATTCTGCTCTTCTCCCCCATTCCCTTTAGTGTGTGACAGCACTAAAAAGGGGTCCTTACCCTTCCCTTTAACATTTACCATTATGCTTTGCTGTGCCACAAGGCAGCACCTCTGAGCTGGCTCCATCTGCAAATGAAGTTGGCAGACATGACTGGAACGAGCTCAGGAGGTGCTTCTTCTAAGCAGGCTAGGGTTAAGAACCAAAGTGCTCTGATTCAGCCCAGTTAGCTTTCATATTGGTTGCAGGGAAAGTGGCTTTACTTCCCTCATGGCTAGCACACACAAAAATTGTATGGATTCTCATAGACAGCTGATTAACATTTGTAGATGTTCTTTTATTGAACCAACAAGTTACATAAAAAGCGTTTTAGTCTACTGAACCTCATGGAATAATCTTCTGGCACGGATCAAACAGGAGTGTGCCCAGATTCAAAGGTTTGCAGCACTTTTGAACAGCTAGAGTTGATCTAATTTAGAGAGAAACTTATATTCACTTTTTTTTAAGTCCCATTCTATGGAACTAAGCTGGCTGCAAAGCCTTTGATATTAACCCAAGCAACAGCTTATGTCTTGTTACCCTCCTGAGCGGAAGCATGGTGCAGCTGCCTTTCTGATTTTGATGTTTTCCCTTCCCTGCAGGAAGCAGAGAACACTTTGCGTTTGATGCAGAACAAGCTGAAGGAGGAAGAGAAGCGCTTGCTGAAGAGTGGAAGTGAGCTCTGTTTGTTAACTTTTTCGGGTGTCTGCAGTTTGACCCTTTCCATTTGCATGTTAACATGGTCATTTGAGGTGGAAACTAAACACCAGGCAGGCAGAGAGGCATATGGAGCTACAGCAGTTTTCTCTTTCTGCTTGATTGTCCTGTCACTCAATTTACTATTTTCAAGGCAGAATGGGAAGTCAAGGCTGTAAGTTGTCTGTTGCCCCCCACCCACCCCATTTCAATGATGGGAGCTTTGGGTAGGTCATGGCTGCTTACTGTCTAAATATCTATCTCTGAGCCCCAAATCAGCTGCATTATGGGTAGCATGGTGCGTAAGCCCTATTACTGTTAGGAATAGAGGTGAGTCACTTTCACTTTAACAATGTAGTATTTAGCTGCAGGGGGGTTGGACTAGAGGACCCTCACGGTCCCTTCCAACTCTACAACTCTGTGAAGCAGTTTTGCCTTGCTGTGTGCTAATAATAGGGGATTTGTTGTATTATTTATTGACTGCTGCCCATTTGCTCAAGACACTTTACTGTGTATAACATAGCTGTCAAGTGTCCCTTATTTGAAGGGACAGTCCCTTATTCCAGTGCCATGTCCCGCTGCTGTCCCTTATTGATGGATGTCCCTTAAATGTCCCTTAAATGATGCCCCTTAAATTTCAAAGGAAGCAGCTCCTCTCCCTCCCTCCCTGCCGGTCAGGGAGGAGGAAGGCTCCAACTGTATTGCTTGGCTGTGTTGCTCACCCAATAAGAAGTCTAAGAACGACTGTGGAGTGGAGCTTGCATGCCTTGTGTGTGGCTAGTTCATGCGAGCTGAGGGGTTTATTTGAATGCTGGACGCCATTTTGTTGCACGTGTTGCTGCAAACTTTGCAGTGCAAAGCCAGGCCGGGGAGCCATCTTAAGTTGAGGCTGCATAGGCCTTGTGGTGCATGTGATTCAGATTCTATTCAGTTGAACCTCTGGTTACAAAGTTGGTTGGACAGTGTTCTCGAAGCTACCAGCATGAGTTTGACCAGATTGCAGGAGGACAGGAAGACTGGAGTGCCTAGAACAGGTGAGGCTGCAGGTCCCTTATTTTGGCTGCTGGTCCCTTATTTTCAAATCTGTAAGTTGACAGCTATGGTGTAAAATCATGGCCACCAATCTGTTGGCTACAAAAAGGAAAGGATGCTAATAGAAGGGGATAAAGAGTAAATTCAGATACCAGTTCATCTGTAATGTTGCATAATGATTTGGGTGGAATGCGCCTGGTGCACATCATCTTGGAGGAACCAAACAGTAGTTGGTCCCATAGAAGGGGGCCTTACACTCTCACATTCTTTTCTCTGATGTGGCCGGTGCATTGCCTGTTAGTGGAGTGGAAGAGCCAAATGGTAACTTGTCTGATGGAAGGGGCCTCACCGCCTCACCTCTCCAGCTCATGCAACTATGGGGAATGAATAGACACCAATGGAGTGAAAGAAATTGATGGATGGCCTATCCAACAAAAAACAGATTTTTGTTTTTTTATTATCCACCTGACTATTAATTCAAAGCTGTAAATTGCAACTCACCTGGGCACCTGTACTAGCTAAGAAAACCTACAACCAGGCAAGGAGCAACAACATATTCCTCCTCTAGGGTATAAATGGCTAATATAAGTTACAGGCATGCAAGAGGCAAGCAGAAAACTTTCCATGAGCTAGTAACTTTTGCAGATGAATATTCAAAACTGGATTAATTCACCAATTTTTGGATTACATTGAACTAAAAACGGGTGTTATAGTTTTGGGTCCTGTTTAAGCCATATGAAAATAAGTAACTATTTAACTGGCCAAAAATGCTGTTCTTCATCTGATAAGCAATTCCAATCAATGTTTCCTCTCTTTTTACTGTAGGTCAAATCTCTCCAGTGGGAGGGAGTATTTAGGCCTGCTTTTAATACCAAGGGAACTATAATTAGTAAGGTTGCCCACATGCTAACTTTTGACAGAAAATTTGCATCAGTGACAGATTGGAAGGAGCAATTTTATCCTGATGTTGTTATTTCAGTTTTGGCTTATTCTTAACTAAGACGTCAGCAGAGACCCTTAGGTGAATCATCCCAGTGATTTTAATATTGCTTTGTATGCCTTGAACATTTATTGGGAGGCATGTGAGGGAGAAACCCAGAAGGTTTTCTCCTGTGGATCAGTTAAGGGAATTTTTGCTTTTGACTGAGACTGGCTGAGGCTTTTCAAGTCGCATTTGATAGTTCCAGCTTGTTAATACTTTTATCTCAACCTTCCTTGTCTTTGTCCTTTTGTGTGTGGCAGCAGGCTTTAAGTAGCAGAGCACTGTTGGTTCTGCTGAGGACTAGTGTTCTGGCTTGCTGGGTCTTTGTAGATCAGGCATGAGGGAACTTTGGTCTCCAGACGTTGCTGAACTACAACTAACTCCCATATTCCCTGCTCATTGGCCATGCTTGTTGGGGCTGATGGGAGTTGTAGTTAGCAGCATCTGCAGGCCCAAAGTTTCCCCATGCCTGTTGTAGATCCTGAATTTTTTTCCATCTTGCACCTGTCTTCTAGAAGGAGACTTGAAAGGGCCTTCCCCCAGCTGATTTTTACCCTGGAACTTGATTCTGCATTGAGCAGGAGGTTGAACCAGATGATCTCCAAGGCCCCTTCCAACTCTACAATTAGATGATTCTCTGAAAAGATGGCTATGAGCAAAGTTGAGCATAATCAGACTTGAACATGAAGCCGAAGGACTTTAAAAAATGAGTCTGAAGGAGAATAAATACACTTGCTCAGATACGTAATTCTTAGAACATTCAGAGCAGTTCATGGACATACTCTCAGTGATCACCATACGCAGATGGCGGACTGAGGCTTTGAGATTTGCCTAAGGCCATCTCAGTGAGTGTATAGGTAAGATGAGATTTGAACCAGGATCCTCATCCCAGAGGCTTGTCTGTTGAAGTACACAGGACTGGACTTTCAATGACAGAGCTTTCCTCTGGAGCATAATTCCTTCTCAATCATAAAACTGCCTCTGTTTTACAAACTCAGTTGTTTGTTGTTACAGTATTGGCAAAATTCTGTTTGCGGAAGCAGTGGATGAGCTCCTGGGGCTTAGCCGCTCAAATGGAGTATATCACATATTTGCTTTTGTTTACAAAGATTTGAAGCAACTGGGGCAAACAAGAGCAGCTTTGATCCGTGGGGAAATCTGAGTTCCCAAAGTGAACATGAAGCACATATTGTTCTTGGCTTGAACAAAGCTTTATTGAGAAAGTGACACATCTCTTAGCGGGTTCTGCCTGCAGCTAAGGTGGAAACAAAGTATGATCAGTGAAAGATTTATTAAACACATTTGGGGTTTGGTGTGGGTCTTTCTTTCCTTCTTCAATTTTCGTTTTCATCTGAAATTAGTGGCATACAAAGACACAATTTGTACTACCTTCTCATCTGATTCCATCTACATGTTAGGATCTTTTAGGGAAGTCATTTGTATTTTTAGTTAATAGCTGCTTTGTGGAACCACAGCATGGGTCCCCTGTATGGGAGAGGCAATTTCAAATGGTACTTTGCTTCTTTTTTAAAGTGGATGGGTGGCAGCAGTGGTGTGAGGGAGTCCTCCATCTCCCAGCTGCCATCCCTGCCCCCTTATAGGAGAAGGCAGCTGGTGAGTTGAGATTAAATCCTGCTGCCTAGGCTGCATGAACCTGTTCCCTGCTGGAAATGGGGTGCTGTAGCCAATCATGGGCGTAGCCAGGATTTTTGTTGGGGGGGGGCAGAACCTCAGTTAGCTATGTATTTTTATTGATTTTTATTGATGTGAGGGCCCCTTCCTGCCCCCCTCCATTGGCTACGCCCATACAGGATTAAGCTCTACCCTCCCAGCCATCAGTTGACATCACCTGTGACCTCAGCTGATGAGAGGGTGGGTGTGGTTTGGGGGGAAATGGCCCGGTGGCCAATTGGATCCCCTGGTGGGCCAGGATTGGCCTATGGGTTGGACGTCCCCCACTCCCTGCCTGGAGGAAAGAAGGTGGCAGTGGCAGCATTATATCAGGCAGGCAACCATCACTCCAGCGCCTCTGAGAGGAAGCCTTCCCCCCTTAGAACTGCAACCTTTCTGTTCCCACTTTGCATTATTGTAGGAAGAAGAGGTGACATGCCATGGCTGATGGTGTGCAGCACAGTTTCCGCCACCCCATTAACATTCAGTTCTAAACTGATGAAATAGTCTGTCCTCTCTGCAGGGGACTTGGGTGAGGGTGCTAAGAATCTTCTGTTAGAAGTTCCTGAACTACAATCCCCAAGATTCTCTGGGGGAAGCCATAACCGTTGAACCAGGACCAAAAACTAATAGAAGTTTGGAATGTAGAGAAGAACATTTTGTAATTAATCTGCAGCCCATTTTGTCCCTGTTGTTGTTGTTGTTACAATAATTATTACTACGTCAGTTTGTTAATTTCACTTGGGTGAGAGATCCTTAATTTTCTACAAATCTTCTTGAATTGAGAACATATTCATCTTTCTTTCCCCTAAGTGAGGCACCTCCCTGCTTCCTGGTGGTTTTGGATGGCGCTGATTCTCTTTAGAAAAGATCACAGTAAAAAGAAAAGAGAGAGGAACTTCCAAAACCTTGTTTGTGATGAATGTGTAGGCAACAATCAAATCTCAAAGTGTTCTCCACTCCTACATTTGTAACTTCTGAAACACTCTGATTAGCCACTATCTTCCCCATGCAAGCCTATGGGTATTTGTGTCTCTGTATATTCTGATAGGCGTCTGATTTCTCTGGATCCTTTAACTGTGTTTGAGAAGGGCATGGAAATCAATTGCGTCATTTATCTGCAGGAGATGAGATGGAAGGCAGCTTGGGGAGCTGTTTCTGGCATATTTCAAAGTCCGGCGAGCTCCATTGAACTGAGCTGCAGGTTCCAGTGTTATGAACAGGGGTAAATAGTTATCTGTGAGCGGGCTCACACAGCTTGACAGCAAATGCACCCTGTATTTATCACCGCTCATCTTGTGTTCTGTTGGGAATAGCTGGCCAGCATGATAAGAAGGAATGAGCAATGTTATGAAATTTCCTAGCTGATTTTCTTAAGTGTGATCATTGCAGAGACCACATGAAAAATCTAATGGCTGTGACCACGTAGCTACTTCTGACTTTCACACACTGTAGAATTAGATCTCTGAGAGTAAAAGATCTGAAATCAATAAAGGGAGGGTCTCCTTTAGTGGACAGTCTTCTTCTGTTCCATTCATACCAATATGTGAGTTTTCTGGACAGAAGCAGTGCCATCTTCTTGCACTGCAATCCTGCACATTGTTCAGACTGCTTAAATGTCAGTAGGATTTAAACACCTACAGTGTGAGGGAGATGGCAACCAAGAGCCTATCCTCTCCACTCCTCGCAAACGATGCTAATAGTAGTCCCAGAAGGGAATAATTTTGACAGAAGCAGTAGCACTGAGGGGAAGCTTGAAGCACCTCTTCTCTGCCATCTCAATTAAAAGGTCATTCCTCACCTTGACTGCATTTTTATTGTTATTATTATTTAAAGTTGTGTACTCTTGAGTGTGGATTCCCCTGTGTCATGCCTGAAGCAAAGTTCTTTCCCGAGTCTTAACCGGAGATCTCTTTTGCACACAGAGCAATTGCTCTGTTGCTGAGCTGTGGTCTGCCTGTCAGCCCACAATCATCCCTTCAAGCTGAAGCAAAGAACAGAGAGATGGAGCTGATGTCCTAATAACCGTCTTTGGTGGGCCTTCTTGTTTTTATTTAGACAATGATGACTCGGACATAGAGATCCATGAGGATGAGGGATCTGACAGTGACATGGAAGACAGGCAGCTAATGAAGCAGCATACGGCCATGGAGATGCTGATGCAAGGTACCTGTACCTGTACACCTGGTAGACGCTCCATTGCAGATGAAAGGGACCCAAGGGGCTGAGTGGTTTGTCCTGCAGGGCAGTGGGAAACAGCAAGTGCCTAGAAACTTGATGGTGCCGCCTACAATTTTGAAATGCTTTCTCAGCTCTGGGAAGGGCTGACCAACAAAATGAGGTTGGGAGTCTAAAATATATTCTTTCTCAAGCCACTTTCTGGAGTTGCATTTCTGGCCGAGCTGCACATTTAAAGGAACAATTATGTGCTTACTGAATATGATACTGCCTCAGGCATTTAGAAATTAGGAGCTATGGGGTGATTTTTTTTTATGGCCGGCGGGTGAGCTGCATACTTTCTATCTCGCAGTTCCTCTCCTGAATAACTTCTCTCCATGTTGGTTCACTTTCAGAATTGGAAAAGCATCTCCCCATTGCGGGGGGCTAAGCTGTGGGTGGGCAGGAGAGATCCATGCATCCTGTTCGTTTTTCGAATCAAATCCTCCTCCCCCTGCCACATTTTCCACATAATTGGGGCCTTTTTAATGTTTAAATACACAGAATTGTCCTGTCACTTCTTTCATGGCCCTTACAGTAAGTGGAGCTCTGGACTCATTTAAAAAATGGTTTCGCTCTCAAGTGGGGAATATTTGTCCCTTCTGAAGTACGTAGCTGAACTACTCCTGAACTACAACTCCCATCAGTTCCAGCAATCATGGCCAATAGCCATAGATGATTCAGGAATGTTTGGAGGGCCAAGGATTCCCCACCTCTGCTATAACTGAACCCTGTGCATGTGGCTCCATCCCCAGAACGGGTCCTCTAGTTCAACCAAGAGCATGAGATGCAGTTGCTCTCCCACTCCTTCCCCAGATTCTTATATTATGATACCACAAGGATGTCAGCGCTTTGTGGAGCCTCTCTGGAGCCTCACCAACAGTGTTAAGCTGGAAGCGTTAATGCACCAAATGACTTCAGGAGCTCCTTGCATCTGTCTCCGAATGTCAGCTGTCTCCTGCTTTGGTCAAGCGCTCTCGGCTCCTCCTTGCAAAAGAGCTGTGACCTTTACTGGAACACAGAAAGCAGTCATTAGAGCAAAGCTGACATATTAGTGCCTTTATTTAAGTTTGTGTCATCCCGTCAAAGGCAGGGGTAAGTGAAAAGGTGTTCCCCATAGATGGCATGTGGATTGTCCTACAGCTGTTGGAAGGACAGGAACTCCATCAAGAAGGGGCCTGTTCTGACAGGCAGTGAACGTTTGCCTCTCTTGGCCTCTCAGGCAGAAAACAGATCACATATTTAGGACTCTCTAGTACTTCATTTGATTTATTATTATTTATTATTTCTCTAAATCCAACATAGCCTTTCAAAGCATCTTCTTTCTAACACAATCAGAAAGGTGTGACCTGAGGCGTTGTTGCTTGCTGAGTCCATGTTCACTTTCTCTTCTCCCCCTTGTCATTTCTGGTCAAAGAGACTACAACAAACAAGCAACCCCTACAACCTCCCACCCCAAATCTGAGAACAGGGATACTGGCAGGATGAATCTGAGCGTCAAGTGCCTCTTATACCACCTTGGCTCCCTAGAAAGAAAGATAGCCAGCATTGTTGTGTGTTCAGCCACATTCTCATTGATTTTGTCTCCTTCTCTGCTCCAGGGAGACCAAACAAACGGATTGTAGGAACGATGCAAGGTGGAGACACAGAGGACGATGTAAGTAGTCGCTAAAGACGCTATTGGCAAAAAGGTGCTTTTTCCATGGCATACCTTCTCATTCCGCAACAGGTAGCCTGTCTCTTCAGTTTCCCCTGCCTTATTTCACTTTCTGTTTCTGTCTCCCCCACTTTCCACAAAAGCTCCTGCATCTTCCCCATCTCATCTCTTCTCTTCGCTGTAGGTCCCTTTCTCTCCTTCCTAGTGCAGCCACTTCTTTGTCTTTTCCTGCTGTTCTTGCGATTAAGTTAGGTAAGCAGAGCAGCAGACTGGCAAGCGATGCTTCTCAGAGGTCTGTCTGCCTCTCCCCCTCCCTCCCTCCCCCCTCCCTCTCTGGGGACAGAGACTCCTTTTGTGATCACGCCATCACTAACATTTCTTTTGCCTTCAAAATTTATCATACAGTGGTACCTCGCAAGACGAATGCCTCGCAAGACAAAAAACCCGCAAGACGAAAGGGTTTTTTGTTTTTTGAGCTGCTTCGCAAGACGATTTCCCCTATGGGCTTGCTTCGCAAGACGGAAACGTCTTGCAAGTTTGTTTCCTTTTTCTTAACACCGTTAATACAGTTGCGACTTGACTTCGAGGAGCAACTCATAGCACGCGGTGTGGTAGCCTTTTTTGAGGTTTTTAAAGACTTTGGTGATTTTTGAAGCTTTTCCGAAACTTTTCCAACACCATGCTTCGCAAGACGAAAAAAATCACAAGACGACAAAACTCGCGGAACGAATTAATTTCGTCTTGCGAGGCACCACTGTACGGCGCCTGGTGCATTAAGCACTTTACAATAGATAAAGACAGATCTTGATTGACGGGGATGCTAATTGGTCTTTGCGGAACCTGTGCTGCTACTACCCCAGTGGGACAGATGAAAGTGACAAGGAGCATGCGGCCGCCGGCAGCTCTGTTTTTTCTGTCTGTCCTCCTAGTAACATTTTGCTAAAGAAAATGACATCCAAGAAAAGACATGACCGCACCATGCTCAATGCTTTGGTGCTCCCCCCCCCCCCTCACATGCCATGTCATTGGTGCAACTTGCAGAGGACAAGGAAGGCCTAGCTGTCTTGCTGATAGGTTCCAGGTCATTCATACCGAAGCATTACTGTGGTGATATCAGGGCCCACCATTAAGCCCCATCAGGATGGCAGGCACAAGAAACAGAGCCTTTTCAGTGGTGGCTCTATCCCTGCTGAATTGCTCACCCTCTTTGCACAGGATCTCCCTTTAGTTATTTTCAAATGTGCTTTAAACTGCTTTCAAAAGAATTTGGTTGTTTGTCTATATCATGTAAACTGCTGTTCCTTTTATAACTTAATTGTTTTGGGCTAGAAATTTTTTTTTATTTTAGTTATGAACTGCCTTATGAGAGTCTTTGGCCTGAGGTGAGGGCTAAAAATTAAATAATTTGTAGCTTAGGCCTGAGTCCCATTGAAATAAATAAATACCTAACTGCAATTTAACTCTCTTTTATGTCCCACTGCTTTCAGTGGGATTTGGCCACCCTAAGATCTGCAAGATTTCACTGTGTGTATTTAATATCAGGGTTTTTCTTCCCAGCAGAATGTTTTTGAGTACTTTCTGAGTAAGAAAACATTTGTCTCTAAAGCAATTTGCCACTAAAGCTTGGGCTTCTCTTAAGTCTATCATTTTTATTCATGTAGGAGCCAAACTCCTGGGCTCTTCCCCTTGGGACAGACTACCCTCCCTGGCTAGAAACTGCTGCTTGCGTTTTAAATATGCATTGTTCAGGTCAGCCTGAAGTCATTGCACGGATGCAGGAAATACTAAAGCATTTGCACTTCCTGTGTGAAAACCAGGTTTACTGAATTGGAGCTGCCACACGAAGGCCTCCTTTGAATGGCTCAGGGTGGCGGCTGCTCACTTGAAGTAGACAAAGAGGCTGTGTTTGTTTGGATAGCTGTTTTAAATTGTGGTGTTAGGTTTAAAGTGCTGTTGCAACTTGGTTTGTTCTGTTGTTGTTGTTGTTGTTGTTGTTGTTGTTGTTGTGTTTTTAATTATGACTGCATCACGGTGGCAGAGAAGGCAGATATGAAATTGGTCTTGCATTTGCCAAGGCCAGCAGTGGACAGTGGCATACCCCACATAGGGGAGTGATTTTTCTCAGAACTCCAGCAGTTCTCCCTTGGCACACTAATGTGACCCTAATGCTGTTTGAACATTTCTGCCCTAGCCACAGAATAAGCAGCTGCCCTTAAACAGTTTACAGCAGGATAACAGCCACACAGAGCTTGGGCTATAATTTGGAGCAGATTCCCTCAAAAAGTTGCGAACTCTCCTTCCTTGGAGGTTTTTAAGCAGAGATTGGATGGTCATCTACCAGAGATTTTTTTAGCTGTGATTCCTGCATTGCTGGGGGCTCGATTAGATGACCCTTGGGTCCCTTCCAATCCTACAGTAATTCTAAACAAGCCCCTTCTCCCAGCCTGTATTGCAGTCAAGCAGATTCCTGGCACCTCTAAGGAAACTTGGGTCACATCCACACCACACATTTAAAGCACTCTCATACGACTTAAACAAACACGATGTTCTCCAAAAAATATATATTTGAAACTCACAACTGCCTCATTGGGGCAAGACCTACTGGAAAGAGATGCTGTGATCACTAGACCTGAGCTGTTTGGGTTTCTTTGAATAAAGAGTTAACTTCACTGACACTGGGTGTTTTATTGCTGACCTGCTCCTGACACCTAACTACAGTGGTACCTCGGGTTACATACGCTTCAGGTTACAGACTCCGCTAACCCAGAAATAGTGCTTCAGGTTAAGAACTTTGCTTCAGGATGAGAACAGAAATTGTGCTGCGGCGGCAGCGGGAGGCCCCATTAGCTAAAGTGGTGCTTCAGGTTAAGAACAGTTTCAGGTTAAGAACAGGCCTCCAGAACGAATTAAGTTCTTAACCCGAGGTACCACTGTACTTTCAGCACAGACTACCATTCCCGGGATTCTTTGAGGAACACCGTGGCTGTCAAAGTGGAATAAGTGCTTTAAATGTATGGTGTGGGTGTGGTCTCTTTGGTGCCACTGAGAGGGGGCTTTACCCTGTCCACCTGCCCTGCTTGATTTCTCCGCAGGCAGGCAGGCAGGCAGCTGCCCCACCCCACCCAGTTGTGCGGCTCACCTGTCATCTTCTCCTCCCTCCTTCCCTTGGAGACTCTGCCCCCTCTGCCCAGTGCCTCTTTCACTCCCATTCATTTTTGCAGTATTTGCTGGTTTCATTTCTCTCTCTCTCTCCTAATTTTTCCCCTTTCTGCTTCCATCTCGCGTTGCCTCTGCGCGCTGCTGCTCCCTCTTCCAAGGTCGGGGCAGCCCAAGCCCAAGCCAGTAAGCGCAAAGTCTCCAGAGCCAAGGCTAAGGTGGGTGTGACTCTGTCTGCAGTTCTTTCCCCTCCACATGCCAGGCCCCCCCCCCCAGCTCTGGTGGTGCACAGCCTCCTTCCCTGCAGCTTCTTGAGCAATTTTCAGCCATCGGTAGCACTCATTGAAAAGAGTGAATAATGGTGAGATGCATATGGAGTTTACACAGTCAGGAGAAGCCTCAAAAATGTTTTGGCCTGTGTTCTTAGATTTCTATCCAGGGAGAGGCAAGGGCAGTATTTAAAAAGGCAGATCTTGGTTGGAAGCCACGCCAGAATTAAGCAGAGCTATTTGTTTTGGGGAAAGCAAAACACTCTGCAGGTGCTCAGATATATACTTTATTGTACAATATTCCTATCTGTTACTTTAAAGGAGGGGCATGGTCAAAATGGAAAAGCAACTCTTGCAAGCTGCTGTCACATGATTTTCTTCAAATCCCTTTTCCTGCCACAGCTCCCCCCAAGGTTGTGCGGTGGAACGCAATAATTGATGTCCTTCCTCACACAGCACCTCATGGCATTTGCTCCAATAAGATGTTGTGAAGGCCCTGGTAGCTGGATGTTCCACCTGCCGTGTCAGAGGCAGCATGTCTCTGAATACTGGTTACTGTTGCCCTCAGTTACTTCCCACTGGGGCATCTGACTGGCTACTGCAAGAGCAGGGGGACGGACTAAATGGGCCTTTGGCCTGACCCAGCAAGGCTCTTCTTGTGCTCTTAACCATATCAATTTTAGCTAATTGACAAATATTTTAAATTGAGTAACAGCCTTATTATTAATAATGATAAGCTCTTTTAGTGGTTTGAGTCTAAGAGTTTCTTACATTGAGCCTTCAAGACAGGGCAGGTTTTTAAAAAACAACAACAAATAATAAATAAAATATTTTTACAGGAGGACACTGAAGACAGTGAAATTGATTTGGATGATGACGATGATGATGACGACGATGACCTGGAAGACGACAGCATGGATCTCTCTCCCAACAAGGCGAGTCGGAGGGTGAGGAAGCCTGAGCCCCTGGAGGAGAGTGATAATGACTTTTGAGCAACCAGGTCATCTCCAGAGACAAACCTTGAGGAGCACAGAGAAGCTAAAACATTGACTCTGACAGGATGTACTCTATAGAGTAAGGCAACCTTGATACCAGTGAAAAGAGTACCAAAGTAGTAATATATCTTGGAACTCAAAGTAGCTTAGCTCTTTTGCTGTTGTCAGTTCATGAGCAAGGAAAGAACACTTACATTCGGGGAGCTGTCATGTCACGCTCCATGGTGCCAAAGTTTTAAGAGACCCAGCAACACACATACAATCCAGCAACACAAAGCAGTTTAGACTCCTACAAGATTCCTGGTATCTTTTTGATACAAATATGAATCTGGAATTGTTTCAAAGGACAATTCAGGATAAATTAACAGCTGGGCTTCAGATTGAATTCTGAACTATCATTCCAAGTGCCTCACTACCCTTGGCAGAAAAAAATGAATTCTGTCTCATGCCAAGAACAAAGGAATGTTGGAGCCCCAGCAAATGTTTCCATCACTTTTACCAAAGCTGACAAGGCAGGAAAGGAGCCCACAATTAGTTTGGGGCTCTGCTTCATCTCTAATTTACCCCTTTGCTATATGAGCACATATAAACTGTCATATTGGGATAAAAGACGCTCTAGGAATGATAATATCTCCAACCTCATTATTTAATACTAAGTCCTTGCCCACACATGTCCATGCTAATGTAAAACCAGGTATCAGTTTGGTTTTCCTAAGGAACTTTTCATTAAAAAAAACAAAAAACTCATTTAGTAGAAATACAAGTTTTATTTTGTTTTTCTCCCCTTATTCTGGGCCAATAAGTTTCTAGGCACTGAACAGGCTTGACTGAATACTTTCCTCTTGCCATAAGCCACACAGTGCTACCAGTCTCTGAATGCCTCTGTGTATAATATTATTTTCAGAGGATAAATGAAAAATATTTTATAGATTCAATCCCCTAACAGTGGCAGGTATCACCTGTTGAGCTAGTTCTGTGTTGAGGATTCCTCAGTTCCTTATGCCTTGCAAGTTGTATGTATTTTCCAGACTCGTTCTGAACCTCTTTGACTTTTACATTCATTCCCTCGTTTCACAAAATAAACGACTTTACAATCTTGTTTCTTCTTGTGGTGTCAGCTGCTTTCAGTTTGTCAGGAAGGCACAAACCACTGCTGCAGATGCCCCACAAAATGTCTGAAATACTGAACCACCTTCACCAGCAGCAACAAATGTCCAGAATGAAAATGAGAAGGTTTGTCATCCTCTTCCACAACTGCCTTCAGCTCAGGCCACGTCCCCACTTAGTACCACCCATTGCAGCATCCTGGCGATCTGCCTTTGCACCACATCCTTGTCAGTGAGCCATTTGTGAGGAAGGGGCATGTCTCCAGGGCGCAGGATGTCTGGAATCCGGGTGCACCTCCTCCAGGGAAGTTTCTCTTTCACATCTCCACAACGCAGCTGGGGGCATTTGTACGGATGGCATCAGCAATCACCTTGGCTCCTGATTCACCTATTTTGTTTCCCTGTAAGCTGTGGAGGGAAGACAAAGGGTTGACTCTTAATGCATCATCACTGTCTGGGCACTGCTCACAGTCTGAGCGGTAATTGCAATTTTCTCACATGTCAGAATCACCAAAAAGGAAGAAGCAGCAGCTCTGAGCAGGGGGAGAGGTTGAATGGCTTTCCCTGTTGCACATGACTTTGTTAGGTTCCTTGAACCAGTTGGAGCTTTTGCTCAATGGGCAACTTAATCGAGTGATGACTATTGTGCTTGTGCCCTAAAAGTCTGGACAGTGGAAGCTGCGGAGGGTGGGCACTCCTGATTTGTGACAGATTTGGACCGTAGTGCTTTCCAACCAATTAATATCTAAAAGCTGGATACAGGGAAGCAGTGGAGCTAGGGAAGACAGCTAACACATTTTGGTTGCCAAGCCATGGTCAATATTTAGCCAGTCTCAACCCCACAGGAAAAAATTTTAGGTTGGGATTGACCTCCAGGCCTATGAAACAGCAGCTAACTCTTAACTCATTGGCTGAATATTCAGGAACTAATCACTATTACAACAAAGAAGTAAAATTAACTGCTTGGGTCCATCATACAGCTGTCAGCCTAGGATGCCTGTCCCTCCTCCTGGACTCTGCCCTGGCTTCAACATCCAGCTTTATAAGTCCTTTGTGTTTTTCTTTCAGTAGGAAAAGAGGGAAGGGGCAGGTTGGCTCCTGCGGGGGAAGGGCCAAGGAGTGATAGCTATAAAAGAAAAGTAACTAGGGCAGAGGGACATGGGTGGCGCTGTGGTCTAAACCACAGAGCCTAGGGCTTCCTGATCAGAAGGTCGGCAGTTCAAATCCCCTCGATGGGGTGAGTTCCCATTGCTCGGTCCCTGCTCCTGCCAACCTAGCAGTTCGAAAGCACCTCAAAGTGCAAGTAGATAAATAGGTACCACTCTGGTGGGAAGGTAAACGGCGTTTCCGTGCGCTGCTCTGGTTCGCCAGAAGCAGCTTAGTCATTTTTTAATGTTTGATGCTGTACTGTTTTTAATATTCAGTTGGAAGCCGCCCAGAGTGGCTGGGGAGACCCAGCCAGATGGGCGGGGTATAAATAATAATTATTATTATTATTATTATGCTGGCCACATGACCCAGAAGTCTGCAGACTAACGCCGGCTCCCTCGGCCTATAGAACCCCAGAGTCGTTCGCAACTGGACCTAACGGTCAGGGGTACCTTTACCTTTACCTAACTAGGGCAGGGCACCCTCTCCTCACTGTGCTTCCTGCACATCTCCACTCTGGCTCCTGAGATTAAACCAGATAAAAAGGTAAAGGTAAAGGTACCCCTGCCCGTACGGGCCAGTCTTGACAGACTCTAGGGTTGTGCGCTCATCTCACTCTATAGGCCAGGAGCCAGCGCTGTCCGCAGACACTTCCGGGTCACGTGGCCAGTGTGATGAAGCTACTCTGGTGAGCCAGAGTCGCACACAGAAACGCCTTTTACCTTCCCGCTAGTAAGCGGTCCCTATTTATCTACTTGCACCCAGGGGTGCTTTCGAACTGCTAGGTTGGCAGGCACTGGGACCGAACTACGGGAGCGCACCCCGCCGCGGGGATTCGAACCGCCGACCAAGCGATCGGCAAGTCCTAGGCGCTGAGGTTTTACCCACAGCGCCACCCGCTGTGGGTAAAACCTCCACTCTGGCTCCTGAGATTAAACCAGATACTGATCCATATGTTTTCAAGCTTCTCTGCCATAAATGGGCTGGAAACTTTTTTTCAAAAAAGTTTAGGCTCTCAGGAAGAAGAGTTCTGCTTCCATGGTACATCCATTAATGTATGGAATGCAATGTTCATGATTAATGATTAAGTAGCAAGTTCTGCTCCACCCCGGGCCACCCATCCCTGCCAAATCCTGTGGGGCCTGGATATGAAATGGCTTGGACACACACTTTCTAGACCAAGAGCATTGAAAAGTGAGTTACTTGATGTAGGCGAGGCTGTGGCTTCCAGTCAGAGCTGTGGCAATGCAGATCGCTCCGTCCATGCCCAGGGCGTTCTCTTGGAGGCTGCGGGCAAGAGAACATGGGCATATGGAATCCATTATGCACAGGCGCACACACAGTGTCTGCTCCAGCTTAGTTTCGCTTCCCCCAGAAAAGTGTAAAGTAACATCTGCCTGGCCATTGAGTATCTACCATACAGGTAGGGTAAATTCCAGCCCACAGCCCAGATGAAGCCCACAAAGCCATTTCCCCTGCATCCTACCCCCTCCTTCCAACATGCAGCCTTTAGGCTTGAGTTTTTAATTTTTTAGACAATAACTTCCATTGGTGGAAATTAGTTTTTTTAAAAATTGCCACATGGTATTTTTGGTGGGGTTCATAGCTGGGTCAAACCTCGTGAGCTCTGATTCCCCCTGTCAAAATTTAGCAGTCGGCCTTGGAAAAATATCTCATCTTGGCTTCAAAGGGAGACCATTTTCTAGCCTAATTGTTTGGGCTATTCATGGAGATCACGGCTGCCGATGGAAGGGCTCACCGTCCCCTGCCTGTGCGCTGCGACACCTCCACCAGCACATTCCTCAGCCCCCACAATTAAACTTGACAAAAGTGCCACTCCTCCCTGCCCCAGCCAAGCCTAACTGCTTCTGTGTGGGGAAAGAATGAGTGAATGTGTTAAGTGTGCATGAATGCATATGGGTAGATTGGGGGGTGCCGTGCCCACCCAGTTTTGCACTGACCACCAGAAAGTCAGCCAGAAGAGGTTGTAGCCCTCAAGCCGAAAAAGGTTCCCCACTCAAAAGCAGTGCTTAAAAGACGAGTTGTCCCCCCAAATACTGTTTTGTATTGCTAGCTTCCTCAAGCATTAGAAAGGTTCAGGAGAGCTTTTCACAGGGTCAGCTGTCTTATGGGAAGAAATGCCTGGAGATCTGTGATGGTTTCACAATGCTGTATCTATTTATAAATGCACTACACGAGCAGCCTGGCACCTAGTCAGGTGGTTCTAGCCTTGTATCAGTCACTCCAATAGCAACAACAGACCTTTGCAGCTTTTCAAGGTGATTTTTGCCATCTGGGTGCAAAACCCAGGCTTTGGGGGAAGGGGGTGATTTGCTCTGCCTGGAATTCCACTGCAAAACTCTTATTTCTTTTAGCCCTAACCCAAGCAGGATACATGTGGCACACATTTTATTGGTTCAGAATTAGCCACCAACCATACAAGGCCATTAAACAAGCATTTTCAGCCATTATGCAAACCCAAAGGCCATCTCTTGACACTCTTGAATGACAGAATGACCCCATCTGTTTCCTGTCCATCGTTTTACTTACTTCAGCCTGCGGAGGGCACCGTTAACTTTCAAGGCATTGGCCATTGCCTTGGCCCCTGCCAAACCGATGGCATTTCCTCTCAAGCTGTCAAAGAAACAAGGAAGATAAATTAAGGCCAGGTATTCAGTGCATGGGTGGCACTGTGGGTTAAACCACAGAGCCTAGGACTTGCCAATCAGAAGGTCGGCGGTTCAAATCCCCTCGACGGGGTGAGCTCCCGTTGCTCGGTCCCTGCTCCTGCCAACCTAGCAGTTCGAAAGCACGTCAAAGTGCAAGTAGATAAATAGGTACCACTCCAGTGGGAAGGTAAACGGCGTTTCCGTGCACTGCTCTGGTTCGCCAAAAGCGGCTCAGTCATGCTGGCCACATGACCCAGAAGTTGTACGCCGGCTCCCTTGGCCAATAAAGTGAGATGAGCACCGCAACCCCAGAGTCGGCCACAACTGGACCTAATGGTCAGGGGTCCCTTTACCTTTGCCTTATTCAGTTTGATGCTGAAACGAAGCCACAATTCCACAATGCCAGAAGAGTCTTGCTGAATTCCAGGTGGGCCATTGGCTGCACCAACTGGCCTAGTTCTGTGATGGCACCATTAAACTTATAATTCCCCCACCCCCTCCTGGATGAACATAGGGTCTGAGGAGTACTTACTCTAGTGTCTCGAGGCTCTTGTTAAGAACCAGGGCGTCTCCTAGAGCTTTGGCCCCACTCTCACCTATCAGCGCCACCTGGAGGCTGCAGCAAAACAGGGCACATTTAGAACAAACTCAAGGTAGCACCACCAAGTTGTGCCAAGGACACTCAAGCAGTGCTGGAAGGGTCAGCCCTACCATTAGGCAAAGGGAGGCAACCATTCAGGCAGCTGATGTCGGCTGTTCTGAAAGGACAGCAAATAGTTATTCAATTTATTATTGTTGCATTTTTACAGCCAGGAAAGGGGGATTGTCTGCCTCAGGTGTCAAAGTAACTCTAGCTGTGGGTGTTGTGTTCTTCAGGGGCATAGCCAGTGTTGTGTCCTCCAGATGTTGTTGGCTCCCATCAGTCCCAGCCAGCAATGACTGGAGTTGTAATCCAACAATAACTGGAGGACATCATGTTGGCTCTCCATGATGTACTTTGACCAAGTGCTGCTGTTGCTGCTGCTTTTTGCTTCTCTGCCTCAGGCAGCAAAATAGCTTAGGGCACCCTTGGGTGCTGAAAGGCCTCCCCTCCGCCTTGCCTTGTGTTCCTTTCACCTGAAATGGCTGGTATATATAACTTCCTTCCGCAGGGCCTGTAAGACAGAGCTTGGCTT